AGTTATAACGAAGGAGAGTACGAAATGGAGTATAGAAAAGTAGGCGAGGACGAGACTTAGCGTAGTCAGGAAACGGCGGCGTGCGAGGGTTGTGTCCTCCAATCAGCGTCCTGGGATTTTTGAGAAAAAGGCAGGTGACATTAAGGGTACATAGTAAAACAAGGGAGGTTCGGTTTGGGCCGTTACAATATCTAACAGGCTTTGTAAGCTGTGTTGACTAATACTTCTGTGTTTAAGAATTCTGTGTCTTATGACATTTGGTGGTGTTTTTCCGTGCATCTTTTTAATCGACACATTTTCGTACATGTGAGAACAGAAATAGTTGTCCGTTTTTCTTTTGGCAGCCCATCTCAAATAAAATTTGAGGCACTAATCTGCATAGCAGATTCTTCAAAAAATTAATTTATTGCAGCTCGAAGCCTAAAGATTTCTAATCTTAAACTCCCAGCTCCAAATTCGAATTATAGGCGGATCTATACTAACTGTCTGCATATTCCTCGACTTGACTCGTGGAAGCGCTACGCGAACCAATCACTTGTGTGCACTTACTATACACCCTAGAAGACTATTCGTCAACATGTCGGTTTACGATTCCTACATATTTGAAGAAGACAAGATGTAAGACATGTTTTTGTTATTAGTTTTTTCCAAAAACACTTTGCCTTCGGGCCTGTGTCCACATTTGTTTTGCCATATCTCAAGTGATAGAGCAATTATATTGACTTCGGTAACATGACCATGTGTTCCGTACGCGTTTTCTTTAACTCCCCATGCATCTCCCTATCAAAAATCTACGAGATTAGGGATTTAGTTGCTGTGGGTATATAGTGCCTTGGATTAATATAATGTGATTCTGTTTTGATACCTCGCCGGACCTTTAGGTTCCCAAATAACATTTTACTGTCAAGCTGTCGGCGACGGTTGCTCCGACGTTACTGCCGTCGCGAACCGTTGGAAACAGGAGTGGGGCTGCCCTCTAAGATAAACAAAGTGTCCCAGTCGCCCAATATTGGATTTTTAGCTGTGGTTGCTTCATAGAGTCTTGGCTTTGGTATAAGGGTTGCTCAACTCTAATAACATTTTCCTAGCTAAACGATAGCGCACGTGACAAAGAAAAAGACACTCACGCACTTATACCGTACGCTCATATAATAGGCTCTTTCACGACAATAATACCCCTGTCGTTTTAAACGTAAGTGCAATTCCACGGGTAGTCAAACAGATATTGAAACGGCTAATTAATTCGGTCGGGGGCTGCTGGATCAGCCAGTCAGCTAAGCATGACTCCTCCATCAACACAAAAACGCCACGCAATCAGAGAAGCTCGAAATTGTGGCTTTTATTCATTTGCTTATATAACTCGAAGCCTATTTTGCTATAGTATCTACAGAGAACTAAATTTAAACTGTTATTCAGTCAAGAGCTGATGATGGGGTCGCTGGAAATAAAACGGCAGGGCAGCGGCATTTAAAACAAAAGGCCACAATAAAACCAAAAGATTGAGATGAAAAACAGCTAACGCCAAATACAGGAAAATACCACATACAAACGTAAAATACACACAAGAGAGAGCTGCCGTACGTTTACTAAACCTTTAAATTCTGTGTGATAAACCGTCTTTAAGTGAATTGCATTTTTTTCTCGAAAAGCAAACGCATGAGACTATACCTGTCGTAGACAACTTATTTTACGGGTTTACCTCTGCCCGCGTAACTAATCTGCCTGCTATTCGTCTTCACTTCTGACTCGTAAAACGTAAATCTTATATCCGGAGGTCAGTGATGGTTTTGACTTGGAAGGAGAAATGTGAACTAAGACGTTCGATCTTGTAAATTTAAAAATTTCACCCAGCGTAAGCTTAGACTTGTCCTCGGACCGGCAAGAGCTCTTTGCGTACCCCCGCAGTTGTACTCAGTCATTTTTCCGAAGATGTCATTTTTACTGATATAGTGATTCCCAGGTCAACGGTAGAAACAGCCCGCAGTATTGTCTCGTCTCCGCACGCCCTCTATAATTGGAATTCTAAATTCAGTTTGGAGTCATTGAATAAAAGGTGGAGTTTCTGCTTATTTATGATCAGTTCCCATTGATGCGCGCAGTTACTTCTTTTAACCTGGTCGTCCTCAGTCGATAGACGATCAGTTGTCTCTTCATGGCTCTTAGTGTGTGAAAGTGTGTTTACTTCCGACCAATTCACGCAACCTGCTTTTTAAGGCAGATTAATAATTGTCTAGGAACAGATGTCTGCCATATGCCACCCTGCATTGGCATCTCAAAATTACATCCTCGAAGTCCAGCTAGTATTTCGTCCACGTTCCTTTTGGTCTTCGGTGGTTTATCGCTCATTATTGCTAAAGTGAAGGACGATGACCTCAACATTTTTCCCGTTATCAAATTTCCTGTTAACAATTGTGTATTTGGCAGGATGTTTTGTTAGGTATCATTTATGTTTGAGAAATATACGTTGATTTGGGAGGAGGGAAGGGTGAGGTTGCGTTTAAGAAAACTGTTGAATCGGCTACGACAGTCGTAAGGCCAGTCAAGTGCAAGCTTCCCGCAAATTGTTTGATTCCAAATTCTAGACAACGGATGTTTACTCTGCTTTCAATTCCTCTATTCTCGAATACTTTCCGTGGTGTTTTGCGCCTGTAGTACTTGTATTACAGTATGTACTGTTTTAGAATGCTGCTCTTATTACTGTGAAATCCTATGAGCAATGGCAGTTTAGGATCCTATTGCTTTAACGGACACGCTGTCATCAACTTCCAGGAAATTTCAATCGCTCTCTGTGCTTGTTCAGCGTTTGAAAGAATACAAATTAGGCCACTTTGCCCCGAAGTTGTGTTTATTACGTTTCGAATATCGTTCAATGTCAAAATTTAATTTCTTATGTCGTGTGGATAGTTTTAAAGCGTTAATCTCCTAAGTGAAGGAAATGACAGCGTGATTACCCGTACCCATAGGCGCGTAAGGCCTATCAACTTATCCTTCCATATGCTTATCTGCGCACAACAAATATTAAAATATGCATAATTCTTGGGCTTCCTTTTTGGACTATTAACCTTTGGCACCAGGTACATTTCCTGCGCGATGTTGGATGTATCGCCTCTTAGGGGTAATCGCCTTTGCCCCCCCCCTCAAGCCATCCCTTCAGTCAACCGACAAGTATTGGAATCTCAACTGATCGTAGCTTCTTATCTGCAGGTTGTAGGTACGCTCAGGAGCGGTTCCTTAGCATGTATTGTCGACTTGAGGTTGCGAGGATATTGCAAAACTAATAAAAATGTCGTGATCAGAATAGATA